AAAAAAAAAAAAAAACATCAACCCAGCAACTATTTTTTACGGCACAACAAGAATGCATATAGCCTAATATATTGGAACAGAACAACAGTGAAATACTGAAATGGAAATAAGGCTGCAACCAAAGTAAAGTTATCACAGCACTGCAAAAGACATGAAGTCATAATTCCTGGCACTAGAATGAGACTAGGGGCAACGTTATGGTCTTCGTCTTTGATATCATTAATTAAGGCAGACGTTAAAAACTAAAAAGATTGAAGGAAGAGAGTGCACAAACTTTAAAATAAATCATGATTGAACGGAAGAAGTAAGATAAACAACAATTTAAGAGCTAACTGTAAAAGTATAACTAGAGGACAAAGGCGAGAAAAAGAAAATATATATATATATATATATATATATATATATATATATACACGCACACGCATACGCATACGCACACATGAGAAAGATTCCACGCTATAAGATATCCATAAAGATGGTTTATCAGGAGATTGAAAACAAACCTTAAGCTTTGAATAGCCTACACGCCACCAGATGGGTTCGCTGAAATGAAATGCTCCAGAAATATCTAGGATCTCTGGTATTAAAGCCCCAAGGGATGCCAACATAGCCCAACGAGCATGCAGTATTTCAAAGCTAAATATGACAGAGTAAATACATGAATTGCCTGTGCTAAAAGAGAAGAATAGATATCCTATAACAGTTCCTTGTCCAGGATAAGTTAGAGCTGCAAATTTAATTACTCAAGGATAGCTCATATATCTCAAAGTTGGATAACAAGCTGTGGAGCGTGCAGGTTATATACTCATAGCTAACAATATGTGAATAGGTCTCCAGGAATCATTGTAAGGTGATGACTACACTAGGTTCTGCAGGGTCATTCCATTCCTAGCCAAGCTTGTTTCAATCATCATCAGCAATTCACAAGTCAAAACTACTTCAAATAATCATATTCTTATGGTGTGGACTAATAAATCTACATTTGGCTTCCACTTCAGTTGTTGCCTATTGGGGTCGGGTGGGGGATATGCTGAATCAAAGTTTAAGCTGAAAGAAGGTCAATATACTTGAAGTACTTCTGAAAAGCCACGGGATCCTTGCTCAGGCCTGCAATGTCGAACCCATAGTCACCTGGCAGATCACCTGTTAGATATTTTGGATACTCATATGGTATTGGACCAAGCCAGCGAGGACGCTCTTCTCCATACCAGGAACTGCAATAATTCACCAATAGAATGGTATTTACAATATGATGCAATTAAATTCATATGCTCTATTTGTTGGCAGTTGAACATCATGGTTAAGAAAAATAATCTATAATACCACATCCACGTCCAATACAATGTAAATTAGTACAAGCACAACATTTCTGCACGTATAATATCCAGACCAGGCAGTTCTTTATTTCCAAACTCACGCTTTCGTGATAATAATAGAAAGTCAGTTTCCATAGCTTTCTTCATCCGAATAGAGAGAAACATTACCAACTTTTTCTGAGATTAGGGCACCTAGTATCATCGTCACCAAATCAGATGCGCGTCGTTGAACCAATTTTCAACAGTAAGAATTACCAGTCTAACAGAAAATATAGCAGGTTTTGAAGATAATTGAGCGAACAATGCGATGATATATATTTATTTGGCACCAACAAATTAGCTTACCCGATTACCTATCTTTTCTAGCCTCCCTAGCGAGAGCCTTGAACTTGGAAGAGTTGGCTATGGCAGCTTCTTTCTTCTTTTCCATTTGTCTCTGGAGCGACTCTCCGAGTGGACTATTGGCGATGGCTTTCACAGCCGTGAAGGGAATAGCGGAGAATATCAGAACCCCCGCAAGCTACAGCAAGATGGAGAAAATAAAAAAGGACTTTAGCAATGAGCTCGAGTTAGAAACGCGGAGTTTGTTATGCTTACGAACCTCCTGCCAGGAAGCTTTGCAAGTGGAGCGATAGGGAACGGAGCGGCTGTTTCGAAGATTTGATAAACGGGGTTGCTGAAGAGAACTCCCGTAGAATGAAGCGGAGGAAGATGGAATCGCAGAAGGTGAAGTGTGTGGCTGAAGTATCGCCATTGCCATCGATGGCATGCTATGGTCTCGGAGTGAACACTCTATGGCTCCATCTTTTTGACAGGGCTATAGCGCACCACTTTTAAGACCAATTGGATGTGGGTAAAATGAAATTAAATTTATAAAAATAAAAAATCTAAAAATGTTGTGGATTTACAAATAAATTTTGGTTCATCTTAACTGGTAGCTATTTCTAAGTTTAAACTTCCTAATCCGCAATTTATTCTACCCGACAAAACAAATTAGAGTGAATATACATATAAATATTTTGAAATTATAATTGAAAGGAAAATTTCGTACTTTTTACCTTGGTGACAAAAGTATGGTGCCAAAGTGAGCATAATGGTAATTGACACCTCCCTCCAACCAACTATAGTGTGGTCACCTATATATATATAATAATTCAACTAGCTAGTACAAATGATTTTCAAATATTTATTTTAGTTTCAACTATTTTGTTTTTTTAATAATAATATATTATTATTATTATGTATCTTAATAGTTGTTTTATTACCCTGCAATCAAACTTATATTTATTTCTCTTCCTTCATTTATCCTCCTCATCAATCATCCTACAAACAACATTCGTCCGTCGCTATATAACATTTTAAGGTGTAGCTGGTACACAAACATATGTAAGTTGAAATTTAAATATTATATTATAACAATTCGAAGTATAATTATTTTATTCATTTAACACCATTAAAAAAGTCATTATATAAATTTGACTTTTATACAAAATTTAAAAGAAGAAAGAAGAAATTAAAATTAAAAAAATAAAAAGAAAAACACTTACCACACACGCGTGTATATAGGCATTATTTCTATCACTTAAAAACTATATATTCGTGATGAATCTACGAGAAAGATAACTCAAATTAATTCACTTGTATTTGTTTTTATGTAAATAGTGTTATAACATCTAATGTATAATTCTCTCATGCTTTCTACCAACTGTAAATTTGATTTGGGGTTAACGAGTTTGTTCACGTATCAAGAAAATTAGTGTTTTGGAGCTTGTTGAATTGTATTTGACGTCATGAGATTTGATCTTCTTGATGAAGTTCTTAAGCTTTTAGGTTGATGAAGTTACTTGGCTCATAGATTGATAAAGTTTTTTCAACTAGCAGGTTGATGAAGTTTTCGGTTTATAGCTTGACAAAGTTATTCGATTTGTAACTTGATTAAATATTTGACTTATAGCTTGATAAACCTTCGACTTATAGCTTGATGAAGTTTTTTCGACTTACAACTTAATGAAGTTTTTCGACTTGTAGCTTGATGAAGAATCTCCTGCCTGTTACTCAAAGAAAAAACTTCAGCTTGTCGCTTGCTAAAGTTCTTCGACAATTTGTCGAAAGACTTAAGTTCTTTGAAGTATTTTGATCTTCAAGTATTCGATTTTCAAATCTTGAAAAAGTCTTCAATCTCTGACTATCGATTATGAATGGTTTGTATGAGTCATTTGTTTGGCTCTCAATTTGAATCTCCCTTTTGAGTCTGAATGAGATGTGATATCCTCTATTTATATAGTTTGAATTTGTACATGTATTGTTCTCTTGGACTCAGTGAATTTGAGCCCAATCTCCACATAAGTCAATTAAATTAGTCGATGTCATCGTATGGTCATAAAAAATACGCGATTTTAAAAATAATTCGAGCACATATGTATATTTATAATAGGTCTTAAATATAACTATATAATTTATTTAATTCCCTTAAAATAATATATCATTTATTTAAAATAGTAACATGAACTTAATTGATCAAGATTTATAATCCTAATTACGTTAGGATTTGACCTCTATAAATAGAAGATACTCATAATGAAGAGGTAAGCTACAAATCTCTACTCTTTTTACAACACCGCACACTTTATACTCAACTACTCTGATTGGTGCGAATTTGTGGAATCTTAGGAAGCCAAATTTTTACATCATCAAATCTCAATATTTAACAAAAATATTATATAATACAAAGTTTTGTTTTTATAATTGATGTGTATATATATATATCGTCCAAACTATGTCTATGAAGTTAACGGGGTAAAATGACTCTAATTAATCAAGTTACTTCTTCTACTTCATATATCACTACCACTTGTATACAATAAATTTTTATATTTCAAAATTTCAATGATTATTTCATCATATATGTGTATATATATTTCATATTGCTCAATTATATAACTAAACTTTAATTTACTAATTCAAATTATTGATATGAACCTTCATCAATATGTTACAATATTTTCATCAACATTTCCATGGGTAAGTTACTCACATTTTTACAATATAATGCTGATCAATTATAGTTTAATTAAGCTACCATTAAAGTTTTATTTACTAATTCAAACAATTTTCGTTAATTTTAATAATTTCCATAATTTTTTTTTGAAATATACGTCAACATCGACATATCCATAAAATCGAAACCTCGATATCTCCATCGACATCGACATTTTAAACCTTACTTTACATCATATCAACTATGTATTTTAAGTTACGTTAAATATAATAGTTGATAAGAAAGCCCCAAACACAATTTTTGATCCACATATGGCATATTGATACCCATCTTTATTGTGGTCCATACAGAAATATAACTTGCCTTTTTTCTTTGGTTATTTTTTGATGTGTGCCTGCAAAATATAACTCCACTTAAATAGCGTAATACGTAGTTATATTTAGGTACAATGTTTTTCCAATTAAATTATGAATAACATTTTTTAAATGATGAAATTATTAATATCTATTAAAATAACAAATAAATACTTACAATTAAGTTAGAACTATGCTCGCTTTGGTACATTCGATTCATTAATAATGCTGGTATAAATAAAATTTAAAGAAAAATGCGTTTTTTCAAACTTATTTGAAAAATAATGTCTGGAAATTAGGGTGGGACTTCGTCGCCATCCCAATTGCCACATTTTCTACGATTTCATAATTTTCAAATTTACACTCCTCTTAATCCCACCCCCAAATTCCTTCCTTTTTTTTTTTTTTTGTTTTCTTTGATTAGTGATTTTCTTCCATTTTTAGGGTTTATATGGGCATTTTATCGTTTTTTCCTTTTTGGTTGTTGTTTGGATCGTTTTCTAGATGGCAGCGGCGTCTTCCTCTTGGTGCTACCAATGCAGTCGCTCCACAAACCAACAACCTCAAAAGTCGCTATGTAATAGTGGGTTTGTGAAGCAGATCGAGCATGTGTTGAGGTTGGTGAACGTGGAAGCAGCACCGCGGAGGAGGTTTCCCGCTGCGACCATGTACATGATTGGCTACCGCTCGAATTCGGGATCTGGGCTTCGCGAAAGAATGGAGGAGATTGCTCGCGCAGTTGTGAAGGCGGAGAAAACCAACCGACGAAACAAGAAAAAAAAAAGAAGAATTTGAGGGTGGGATTATGAGGATTGTGAATTTGAAAATTATGAAACTCTAGAAAATGTGGTAACTGGGATGGACACGACCAAGTCCCACCCTAATTTTCTGGCATTATTTTTCAAATAAGTTTGGAAAAACACATTTTTCTTTAAATTTTATTTATACCAGGATTATTTTAAAAATAAGTTTAAAAGAAAACATCATTTTGAAAAAAAATCCCGTTCTATGGTGATATGATACTTTTTTTGGGGATAAATTTTTGCCGTGTGATTATTTCAAACTTTGTAGATTGTAGACAAATTATTATGGATAATTCATTCATCAGTAGAAAATTGTGACCCATTAAAAGACAAAAAAAAAAAAAAATCTGTGACGGTGCATCTGTATTAGTTTACTTTACCCTCGCGAAAATAAAAACAAAGCAAGTGATCAGCAAGTTACATTTAAAAAATAAAAATCATTTAAACAGCACGAATATAGTTAAAAAGAAATGAAAAAAAGAAGTCATATTGAATAGAAAATACAGGCATTTCTCCGTATAATTTCCAAAACGGTGTCCGATCGTTACCCTCCCTGTGCAAGGGTTTCTTGCTCATCCGCTTCTTACTTCAAAACCCTAGATTGTTTCAACTCTCCTGCTTCTGCAACTTACGACTTCTATCATGGCGCATTTGGGTGGTGGTGCCGAGGCTCACGCCCGCTTTAAGCAATACGAGTACCGAGCCAACTCCAGCTTGGTCCTCACAACTGACTCTCGCCCTCGCGACACACATGAACCCACGGGCGAGCCCGAGTCCCTTTGGGGAAAAATTGATCCTAAAAGCTTTGGTGATAGGGCTTACAGAGGGAGACCCCCGGAATTGGACGAGAAACTTAAGAAATCCAAGAGGAAGAAGAAAGAGCTCGACCCCCTTGCGGAGCCTCCGCCTACTAGACAAAGCAAGCGCCGTCGCCTTCAGGAAGAAAGCGTTCTTACTTCTACTGAAGAAGGTGTTTACATGCCGAAGACTAAGGAAACCAGGGCAGCTTACGAGGCGATGCTCAGTGTCATTCAACAGCAATTGGGCGGGCAACCCTTGAGCATTGTAAGTGGCGCAGCGGATGAAATTTTGGCGGTTCTCAAGAATGACGCGTTCAAGAACCCAGACAAGAAAAAAGAAATCGAGAAATTATTAAACCCTATTCCAAACCATGTATTTGATCAGCTGGTATCCATTGGAAGGCTTATTACTGACTATCAAGATGGTAGCGATGCGGCTGGGCCTGCGTCAGCTAATGGGGACGATGCTCTTGATGACGATGTAGGCGTTGCTGTTGAATTTGAGGAGAACGAGGAGGAGGAGGAAGAGAGTGATCTCGACATGGTCCAGGAGGACGAAGAAGACGAGGATGATGTAGCAGAGCCAAATGGTTCTGGCGCTATGCAGATGGGTGGTGGAATTGATGACGATGACATGCAGGAAACTGACGGGGGTATGAACCTTAATGTTCAGGATATCGATGCTTACTGGCTCCAGAGGAAAATATCTCAGGCTTACGAGCAGCAAATTGATCCACAGCAATGCCAGAAGCTTGCAGAAGAGGTATTGAAGATACTGGCTGAAGGTGACGACCGGGAAGTTGAGACCAAGTTGTTGGTGCACCTCCAGTTCGAAAAATTCAGCCTTGTCAAATATCTTCTAC